ACTCTCAATGGGGTACGGGGTCCCACACACACACTGACTCTCACTGGAGTACAGGGACCCACACACGCACTGACTCTCACTGGGGTACGGGTCCCCCCCACACACACACACACACAGACTCTCACTGGGGTACAGGGCCCCACACACACACTGACTCTCACCGGGGTACGGGGTCCCACATACACACTGACTCTCACTGGGCTACGGGGTCCCACACACACACTGACTCTCACTGGGGTATGGGTCCCACACAGACACACACATACACACACACACACTGACTCTCACTGGAGTACAGGGACCCACACACGCACTGACTCTCACTGGGGTATGGGGTCCCACACACACACTGACTCTCACTGGGGTACGGGGTCCCACACACACACACTGACTCTCACTGGGGTACGGGGTCCCACACACACACTGACTCTCACTGGGCTACGGGGTCCCACACACACACTGACTCTCACTGGGGTATGGGTCCCACACAGACACACACACTGACTGTCACTGGAGTACAGGGACCCACACACGCACTGACTCTCACTGGGGTACGGGGTCCCACACACACACACCGACTCTCACTGGGGTACGGGGTCCCACACACACTGACTCTCACTGGGGTACGGGTTCCACACACACACTGACTCTCACTGGGGTGCGGGCTCCCACACACACACTGACTCTCACTGGGGTACCTGGTCCCACACACACATTGACTCTCAATGGGGTACGGGGTCCCGCACACACACACTGATTCTCACTGGGGTATGGGGTCCCATACACACACATTGACTCTCACTGGGGTACAGGTCTCACACACACTGACTGTGTTTGGGGTTTGGGTCTCACACACACTTCAGCCTTGGCAGCTTAGGGAAAATGGTTTTTTCACTCAAACATCATGAGTATTTGGAATTCTCTACCCAGAGTGTTGTGGATGCTTCATCGTTGCACATATTCAAGGTTGGGATAGACAGATATTTGGTCTCTCAGGGAGTCAGTGGATATGGGAGTGAGTAGGAGTGTGGAGACAAAGCCCAAGATCAGCCACAATTGTTTTGAATGGTGGAGTAGCCTTGAACCGCCAAATGGTCTACTCCTGTTCCTATTTCCTGTGTTGCGGTTTTAATACTGAGTCTTTGATCTGACATTGTTTCCCCCTGAGAAAGCTGTGGGGTGGGAATAACCTACATAGTGACAGCAGGAGTTCCTCTCCACCTTTAAGACCTTTCCCAAAACTGATCCCTTTGCCTAAGCTTCTACTCAATCACTTGCGTCCCCTTCCTTTCTTAATGCAGCGTCGATTGTCCGTTTGCTTTCCAGTAAGGCACTTGGAAGCATTGTAACATGTTATGTACATGAGGTTTGGTGTTGAATGTCATTTAAGGGTTACGGGTTTATAGATCGTTTTGGCCAATCAGTATAGTGGCAACAAAGAGGACACTGACACAAACATTACTAGTATACTGTAACCAAATAAAAGAGACTTTAGAAAGGAAGCTGAAATTCAGATGACATCTTCAAGTGTGCCACAAGACCTTATCCCTTACTGCTGAACACTGTGAAACCCAGGCATGAACACTGCCAAGGAAGAGAGGCAGTCAGTCCAAATGAACCGCTCAATCATCTGCTGCCTTGACTTTTGGAAGGGCATATTGGTCAGGCTCTGGAACTGTCCTGAGGATTTTTGCCCTCCATATGTTTCTGAAAGATAAGATGAAACGCTTCAATCCTGGCAGTCTTTTTTATTCAATTATGTTGGTTTACAATATGATTTATTTTAATGGAAAAGTCTATTATTTAATTGAGTTTTATGATAAATCTCATTCCTGTTGTTTCCTCCAGTGCTGTTAAATATTGTAGCTCAAGTCATGATTTTGTTGTATCACTGGAATCCCATCCACACGCTTCAATGTATTTCACGTGCAGGGACCATTATTCTGCAGGCAAGCTTTAGGATATAACAACTTGCATTTATGTAGCATCTAGTAAAACATTGAGCTCAAGATGCGTCTTTTGTGTTTTATTAGATGACCAAATTTATGGAGCAAAAGGTACATTTTAATGAGTGTCTTAAAGGAGGAAAGAGAACGTGAGAGCTGGAAAAGTTTAGGGAGGAAAGTTCAGTGTTTGGAGCCAAGACATTTGAAGCAATAGCTAGCGATTAAAATTGGGGCTGTTCCAGAGGTCAAAATTGGAGGAACACAGAGATTTTGGGGTGTGGTGGGCTGAAGGAAGTTATGGGTCAATGGAGATGATTTGAACACGGGGATGAAAATTTAAAAATTGAGGTATTGCTAAACCGGGAACCAATGTCAGTCAGTAGGCACTGGGATGCTAGGTGAATTGGTGCAAGTCAGGATACAGGGCAGTTGAATTTTCAAAGAGTCAAATTGATGTCCAGGTTAGGTGGATTGGCCATACTAAATGGTCCATAATGTCCAAGGATGTGCAGGCTAGGTGGATTAGCCTTGGGAAGTGCGTGGTAGCGGGATGGGTGGGTCTGGGAAGGATGCTTTTCAGGCGTCGGTGTGGACTCAATGGGACAAATGGCCTGCTTCCCCGCTGTAGGGATTCTATAAAATCAAATAACAGTCACAGTCTTATGAAACCTTATTTCTGCGTGATACATGGCAGATCTGTGCTGGTGTTGGCCTGGGGTGGACAAAGTCAGAAATCACATGACACCAGGTTATAGTCCAACAGTGTCATTTTAAAACAATAGCTTTCGGATCCTCGCCTGAAGAAGGAGCGAGGCTCCAAAATCTTGTGTTTTCAAACAAACCTGTTGGACTACAACCTGATATTGTGTGACTTCTGACAGAATTTATGGGCAGACATCAAAAGACCAGACAAATGGTGTGAGTGAAGTGCTCAATAATAAGTCCCTGCAGGTGTTTCGAAGTGTTATTCGGTGTGAGTAAAGCATCAACAACTGGTTAATAAGTGAAAGGATGACCTATAATCCGATTAAATGAGGCATTTAAAAAAATAAATAAATAAAAATAAGGTGGTGCTAGAGACAACCCAAATGACTGGAAATAACATGATAGGTATAAGGGGCCTAACCAAAGTCATAAGTAATGCAAAACTGTACAACTATTTATCCAAGAAGTGCTAGGAACCAGGGAGGGAATGTTGGCCGGGCTGTTGACGTCATGGCGATGGAACAGGGTGGTTCACGTCATGAAGGACAAGGAGACGGCGGGAGGGCCACGTGATGTGAGAGAGCGCCTGCGCACAAAGGGGAATGGGTGTGTCCGTCCGCTGGGTGGGCGGGGAAAGAGGCGGTCCCTAATGCACGCCGGTCCGCATTCCCATCGCGTGTGGGGATTGGCTGGCCGGGCGGGAGCAGGCGCGTGCTTGCTGCACCCCCCCCCCCACCTCTAACGTGTGTGTGTGTGCGCGCGCGCGCAGTCTCCTGAGGGGACAGGGTTTGTTCGCTCGGAGCTGAGGGAGGGTGTCCGTGTCGTGTCCGAGTGCCAGGTCCTGTCACACAAACACATAACACCCGCTCACCTCGCATCATGGACACCCGGCACCGCCGCTGAGGGCCTGGTCTCGGACACTGGTCTACCGTTTGTTGATTTTTATTATCTCTCACACATCCCTCTCCACCGAGTGACCGGTCCGTCCGGAAGGGACGGAGTGAACGACTATTCGACTTAGCCCCCACCCACCCCCGTCACGGGCCGGCCTCCCCTCCCTCCAGGACTGAGGGTGAGGGACGGGAAGAGGGGGCTGTGCAAACAACCCCCGGGTAGAGACCGAGCGCCGGGGGGCCCTGAGGAGGAGGCGGCGGCGGCACTGGCTGGAGTTTGAGATCCAGCCCCCCCACCTCCGCTTGACCGCTGGACTGTGAATCCGAAGCGGGCCTTGGGGATGGAGTGGGGGCTGAAGGCCGTCCTCTCGTCCTGGACCCTCATCGCACTATGTGCCTCTTACACCGCCCCGCCGAAAGTTTATAGCAACACCTGGGCGGTGCGGATCCCTGGCGGGCAGCAGGAGGCCGCCAGGGTGGCCAGGGAACACGGCTTCATCAACCTGGGACAGGTGAGCAAACTGCATCTCCGTACTTACACCGTCTCCACTATATTCAAAAGCGAACCTCCTTTTGTTTATAAATAACGAACGAATGAGTTAATTCTCAGTAACTTCTTTTTTTCCACCCCGTCCTCTGTTTATTGTTTTTGGCAAAATCCCTGGCAATTTTATTTCAAAACTCAGGACATTAAAGTGACTTTTAAAGAAATAACCCTTTGTCATTTGTGGTGAAGATTTAGAGATGATTCATGTTTAATCAGTAGGACGATGCATGAGTTGCTGTTCACGGTCACTTTTGTTTCGACAAAACTTTTGGTTGAATAACAAACTCCGAAATTTCTGCTCTTCCGATCAGAGTTTGTTATTGTTCGTGTTGTTTACCTGTACTTTTGAATATAGTCCTTAGAGAATCTGCCACAACTTTTAAAAGGGATTCGATTAGACATTTCTGAAAATTTAACAACTTTTTTAAAAAAAAAAGTCGGCTAGGGGCAAAGGTGTTTCGTTTTCAGCGATCTGGCCGGAATGGTGGGCTGATTGATAATTTTATAGCCTAGAGGAGACCACTGATTTTGTTTCAAGTAGTCACTTGTCCTGCATTTTGTATTGTAATAACTCTGAATTTTTCTTAGTCTCTCCCAATTTGTTTTTCTGATAATGTTATTTAGTTTAAAAAATAATCGTGCCTGAGTATCAGTTCTATCTGTCTCTCATGTACAATACAATGCCATGCCAGGATAAAGATACTATGAACAAGAGATTTATGCAATCTAAAAGCTTTATGATTGAGTAATTGGTCTTTAATTTCTATTTTGCATAAAAATGTTCTTGCAGTTATTTCTTTAGTGTAGTTCCATCATATAGCCAAAACCAGAGATTGTTCCCACTGTCTGTGGACTTTTGTCCAACATTTTTCATCTCCAGATTCCCATGATTGCTGTTAGGAGAAATGAAAACCCCCCTCACTACTTAAATATTTGTATGCTTAATTTATAATGCTATTAGAACTAACGCACAGACTGTTCAGTAGGGCTAGACGAGTGGCAAATAGTGGAGATTCAATCTTTTACTCAAAAGCCTCCTGTTTGAATAGGTTTTATCGGTTACTTACTTGCGTCACTCCCCACCTACTGACTAGAATGGTAGTATTTGTGTTGTTTCAAAATAATGTGATTTTGATTCTCTGGCTAATGTATTTTGTCATCAAATCTGTGCAAACAACACTTGCATACTTTGCTATATGTTGCCACTTGTATTACAAGACAGGAACAAGTGTGGAGAAAACGAGGATTCTTGGATCTCAATAGGATCATGTTTTCGAGACCACATGACAAGAAGCTTCACATCACTATGTGTGAATTTCAGATTTGTAGATATCAACCAATGTTCATTATGTTGCAGTTAGATTTGCATTTTGTCTTGATGTTTGTGAGTGGGTCACTTGAAGTGATGGAAGAACTTTTAATGATAATTCAAGGTTTAATAATTATATATTTTAACGTGTATATGATCTCTATCCTGTTCCAAAGTGTGCACTGTTTTTAGGATTTTCTTAAGTAAAAGTAATGATTTGCACTGTCTACAAGTGCACTCACTGGTTACCTCTACCAGTTGTATGAAATTTTATTTCCATTCAAAAAATTGTAACAGACCACAATTTTTTTTAACTTATTGATATATGGAAACTGGGAAGTAGATTCTTTTCATAAGCCAGATGGGAATAACCGTATTCCAATGTACTAAGTTAGATTTAACCATTATCCCTCAACTTTAATATTTCTGGTAAATGCCCAGTCTTGAAGTGAGCTAACTGGCTGTCTACATAGGATATACTAGCCTGGTTTATTTGTGCTGTGATGTTCTTGTCTCTGTAAATCATGTTCCTAACTATGTCCAATTGTTTGAAGAGGCTCAGCATAGTATTCCTGCTATTTCTTTGTGTGCTTATTCACAATCCCACCGAAGACTTGGTGATGCTGGGCTAGAATTTAGGATTCACAGATGAACAATGTGATTAAAACAATAAAGAAGGTAGTCTTTTATAACTTGAGCTTCAAATTGTGTGTGTGAGAGAGATAGCAGTGGCTTGTGTCTCTATAATTTGGAAAGCAGTGAATATGATCATTATAATGTCAGTAAAGCAAATGGGAGGTTCAAATGACAAGCTAAACTACATGTGTGTTGCTCTTTTAATAAATCTCGTGAGGAATCTGGTGAAGTGTTGTTTATGGTGACTTGTAGTCTGTCTGTGCCTGCTTACCTCTGTCTCTGTTAGCTGGTTTTGCCCATCCAGAGATCTGCATGAGTCAGGATATCTGCAATTAGAGGGCACTGTGTGTGTGTGTGTGTGTGTGTGTGTGTGTGTGTGTAGTGATGGAGGGTGGGAAGCATAATGGGAATGCAAAAGTTCTGGAAATGTCTCTAATGACATTGGATTCTTTGTATCACAGGTTGTAATTAGCAGCAGGAGCTCAGCATCAAATTACACTCTGACATTTTTGTTTGATAACCAAGCTGCTTGAGTGAAATAGATTTTTGATTTCAGTTAGAACTGTTCTTACAGTAATTTTGTACAGTGTATGAAACCCATGTTAGTTATACTTTCCCTTACAAAAATAATCTTACTGCTTTGGCGTTAAAAGATATTGTTGCAGACGAAGTGGTTACTGGTCTAATGCCGTAATTCTACACACTTATTTTCAATCTAAAGCAATCTCTTTGTCATGCTATTGAGTAATTTTCTAAAGTGAGCTTGATGAAATATTCACTAGTTTAATTTTGCCCATGGCTACATTTGACCTTTTCATTGGCATATTCAATTACTTACAATGACTTCTCTTTTTTGTAAGAGGAACAAGAGAAGGCTGTTGAGCTCCTTGATTCTATTCTGCATCCAGTGAGATGACTGCATCCTGGTTCCATACATCTTAAATCTCAGAAATTACAGCCTGAATCCCAAAAATAAAACCCATTTTGCAGTTATTGATGTGATTAGTGTATAGATTGTGAGCGCCTTATTTTTGAGTTTGGGCCAATGGTATCTTAAGCAATTAATTATTAGAATCAAACAAGTTAAATGATCGAGAAAATATTGTGTTAGAGATTAGAAGAACATCAGGTTTAGTTACTGTTTAGAGTAATGTTAATACTTGACCTTGTGCTTAAATCTTGGAGAATAAGTTGAGGTTGTTCTGGTATAAATTATTGCCCATTGACTTGATTTGGTCAAGATGCAATTTCTTAGCAAATGGAATGTTTCCAGAAAAATCCATGATGCATCTTCTCAGTACAGCTAATATGAAGCATTCTGAATTTCTTGGAAAATATTCTTGGAGCAGAGACAAAACCAATTTTCTTATCTCTGAATTTACTGAGTGATCAGGATTTGTACACCACTGCAAAATGCTGTTGCTGATCTATAAGAACGTTTATGTCTGGGCAACTCCATTCTCAAACATCCAAACATGTTATGTTTGGATTGTGGAAAGTGATATAGATAGACTTTGGTTGTTTCTCATAAGCAATTTGTATGTTGTAATCTGAAAATAGCCCTGTCAACACTACATCACTGCTCATACTGTTGTAAAATGGCAGCCTAGATTGTTTCCGAATCTCGAGAGTGAGACTTGAATTTCATGGTCCTGACTTGAGTAGAGGAGTACTACTGAGCCAGGACTGAGCTCTGAAAAACTGTTTGCATAAAGTACACGTTCAGAACAGCATGTGTGCCAAATATTCCTCATTATCACAGTGTCCAAGATTGCTGCTGTCAGAGGTCATGAGTTGGTCAGTTCTTGTTTTATTTTGTGTACAGCCTGGTCCCAAAACAGGTGACCTGTAACCAGAAGAAAATAAGTTCTACATATTTAAGTAGTCTGTTTGAATATCTTGAATTTTTGTAGACCTTCATATTCTACTTTTGGAGAGAAATTTGTTTTTAAAATATGTCGAAAAAATAATGACATCTCCTGTAGACTCCCATGCACTACCACAGTGATCAATGGTGATGGCAGATGTCAACACTCATAGTGGCAGCTCCAAATATTAGATAACAGCTTCACAAGTAGAAATTGCTTCTGAAGGACTGATCTTGACAGCCATTGGCTACAATGCACTAAATGAAGATCATCACTTCTCAGATGGAAGAATGCTAAAATGACATTCAATCTATAAATTCAAACTCTCCTTGTATCTTATTTACTCTTTTCCAACCCTGTGAAGAAAATCTATGTGGTTGCCCTTCGGATTCCTGAATTAAACAAAACCCATGCTCGTTTCCTGAAACTTCAGGCGTGGTTCCGAGTAAAAACAATTCACCATTTACCGGGAAAGAGATGTGGTGAGGTTGACGTGGTAGATTTGCAAATGTGCATTGACACGTAACGGTATGACTTGAGAAGCACTCTCTTGAATGCTCCAGCATCTGCAGTTCTTGCTATCTCTTTTGAATGCCTGTTGTGTTTTGAAGAGAGTGCATCTTTCTGTTGACTTAAAAAAACAAACTTTGATTAAAAATCAAGTACTTGCTTAAAAATAAAAAAAATATTTAATTGTAAAATGTAGCATTTAGAATGTTCAAAGTCTTTAGGTTCATAGACCTGTACTTCTGAGTTTGAATTTGTTGACTTTAAATAGGTCTCCAATTTTAGTAGCGTTCTTTATCTTTATTAGAACTCAGACTTAATATTTGCCAGAATAATTTTGCAGAAATAAGTTTTCTTATGTGCAGTAACTGATTGCAGTTCAATAGTATTGGAGTGGGTGTTAGATTTTAAATGCTGAACTTGGGAAGTAGTGAATATGATTAAGTAAGCTTATAATTGTCTGAAACATTGAAAAAAAAAAAATTAATACTGAAACCTGACCTTTCATTTATAGTAAGTTTTGAAGTGGATAGCAGAGAAAGGGAGTAATAATGTGATGTTGTTTTTGGCATTTGGAACTGGTTCGTGCCGCAGTTAATTATAATTACTGTAACACATTGAAGTTGCTGCTGGGGTACTATTACA